ATCTAAATTTATCTGAACTTGTATTTTATTTTTGATTTAGTAAAATGATAAAACAGTTTGTGTTCACTGCCCTCCAGTGGTCAGAATCAGGAACTACAACACAATATAAACTGTTTATAACCATCAGCCATGTTAATAATAAAATGCTTTTTATAAACATATTAGCATTAGTGTAAGTGTGTTTGATTTGTTTTTAATTCAACAACATATTTCACTGAATAAGTTTAAATTAAATTTTATTTATATGGCGCATTCATAACAACTGTCCAATTATTCATCTGTTAGAAAATAACAGAAATGGCAGGCATTTCACAGAGAATGATGGAAAAAGAAAAACCCTGTTAATGATAAACCGCGATGAGGAAGAGAAAAATGTCACAGTGTGTCAGAGCTCTGAGTTCAGGAGCTGAAAGCAGGAAAGGGTTTGACCACAAAGACAGAAGCTGACAATGTACCACAAATTTATTTCTTCTTGTAGGTCTGAAGTTTAATTATTAAATGAAAAGTGTTTACATTAATTTCTGAAATGAGTCAAAGGCAATAAACAATCACAATCATTACAAACAAGAACCCTAAAATAAGCAGTTCATTCATAAAAACATTTAAAAGCACCGCTATAAAAGAGAGTTCATGTCCTTTGGTGTTCAGCCTAAAGGCAGGAAACGCAGTGAGGTATAATGGAATATTTGCATTTAGATTTTTGATGTTTGCTTGTTTGAGTTTTAACTTCCTCATTTTGTTTTATTATCACTGGAGGATGATGAGCGTTTAGCTCTTGATGCAATATTTGAGTTTTGGTTCTTTTACATTATTCGGTGCTGCTGAAGTTTTTATTCGTGGGTTTAGTTCCTCGATTCAAAATTATTGTTTCTAAGTTCCCTCCTATTGGTTGGACTGATTATTCAGGACTTTATTGTTGAGCTGCAGGATTTTAAATTAAATTCTGCATTTAACAGGAGCCAGAGAAGAGAAGCTTGTATAGAGGAAATATGATCTCTACTTTAGTCCCCTTCAGTACTCAAGATGCTGAGAGACAGCACTTCCTGACAATAATGAATTACAGTCGTCCATCCAAGAAGTAATAAATGCATGAACTAGTTTTTAAGCATCACTCTGAGACAGGATGTTTATAATTTTACAGATATTGTGCAAATGGAAGAAAGCAGTCCTACATATTTTTTAAATATCTACATTAAAAGTCGATGGTTAAATGTTCCTTAGAGTTACTGGAAGGAGGGGAAATTGGATCTAAACTAAGAATCTGATTTTTAGGGACAAATTTTAAAACCTTGTTTTTTTCTGAATTTAGAAATACAATTCATTCAGACATTTATGTGATTAAGATAAATAACATAAATAAAACAGGTTCTCATCTGCGTAATAATGAAAATACAGTCCCGATCAAAAGTTTAAGACCACCTGAAAAATGTCAAAAATCATATTTTGCATGTTTAGATCTTAACAAGGTTCCAAGTAAAGCTTCAATGTGCAACAAGAAGAAATGAGAATGAGACAAAACATTTTTTGAGCGTGTAATTAATTGAAAACATCACTTAAACTCAAACAGACTGTTTTACAGCTGATCAAAAGTTTAGGACCACATGCCTTTAAAAGACCAAATCTGTGCAAAAATGTGGATTCATTGTCATTTTATGTCAGGTAGTTACACTGTCATGATGTTATATGGCAAAGGCAACAAAATGTTCCCTTTTTGAACGTGGTTGGGTTGTTGAACTTCATGAACTGCTTCTCTCTGAGGTGGGACGAAAAATGTAAATGTAAAGTAAAATGTCATTTGGAATTTCTTAAATGATCCTGAGGGTTATGGAATAAAAAAGTCAAGTGGAAGACCCAAAAAATGTCACCATTACTGAGCTGGAGGATCCAATTGGCTGTCAGTCAAGACACTAGATGATCCTCGACCCAAATTAAGGCCGTTACTGTTGCCCCATAACCATCAGACGGCATCTGACACTGAAGGGCTTCAAAAACAAAAAAACTTCTTTGTCTCCTTGAACGCCACAGAACTGACTGTTTGGACCAGGGCTGTCCAACTCCAGGCCTTGAGGGCCGGTATCCTGCAGGTTTTAGATGTGTCCTTGATCCAACACTGTCATGGTTCGGAGTCTGCGACTCCGTGTTTATGTTTAGTTTATTAGTATTCTGTGATTTTGGTTACCTTGGGTGTTTGTACTCTTCTGTTTCATGGTTCATGTTCCTATGTTCTGTGTCCCCCAGCGGCAGTATATCCGTCCGAGGAGCTCCGGGACGACATTACATATAATGTGGAGATTCTCCTCGGGCTGTGGCTAGAGAACCCTCCAGAGGAGCTTCGCCGCACCGTGGAAAGTCGGCTACAACGGCTCTTTTCTGGCCTGCCATGGCTTCTGAAGTCGTTTCCTCCGACCATGCAGGCTTTTCTCCAGCACACACCGCACCTTCTCTCAGCCACTCCTGCCTCGCTGCCCTACTCGCCGGATGTGATCTTGCCCGGCCCGTTGGAGCCATCTGCGGGGAGGAAACGCCGATCGCGCCCCCGGCGCGCCACCCCACAGCCGGACGTTCGGGTTTCTAATTCGCCGGCTGTGGTGAGTGAGGACTCTTTTCCATTTTCGGACTGTATGACTGTTCATTCAGGGGCTGTGTTCTGTGCGGCGGATGATTATGTGAACAACGTATCCCCTGCCCCGCAGCCACACTCTTCTCAGTTAGCTGCCCCGCAGCCACACTCTGCTCGGTCACCAGTGTCTCCCTCTTTTCAGTGCCCAGTGCCACTTTCAGTTCAGTCTCCAGCGCCTCCAGTGCCACTTTCAGTTCAGGCCCCCGTAGCTCCAGAGTCACCTGTAGCTCAGGCCCC